CAATAATCACTTAGAAGCGCTTGGTGTGAGTGAAGTCTCGCGTGATAGAAGTCTATTAAATTTACAAACCTTGTCAGATATTTTCCGGAATCTTGCAGACAAAAGCATTGAAATGGTTTCAATAATTGGCGATAGGTACCGTTTTGCTTGGCGCTCCAAGAAAGCATATACTCATATTTTGAGGTTGCTCTTGGAAAAGACAATTTATGAAAACAATGAAAAAGATACCAGAAAGGCTACATTAAAGTTCTCTTTGGATGAACAAGAGAATTTAATTCAAGCATTAAAGTTGTCGATTAATTTAAAACATTCAGAGAGTGGAAATCATAATACTGATATTAGTATGAGCAAGGAAAATAGATCAGAATATCTAATGAATGAAAATCAACTAGAGAATTTATGGAACCACCTAGAGTCATTAAGGAAGAAAAGGCATGAAACAGGTAATTATGAAAATTCTCAGGCTATTAGTAATGATCAATTTGAAAGCAGCAATTACAATAATGAAAGTACAATGCGTGATTTTGACTTTTTTGGCAGCTTTTCATTTGACAATTTGATTCCAGGCGATAATCCGATGTTCGATATATTCCCAACGAATTCATAGAAACAAACATAACTGATCTGAATATGAGGTACCCAGACAGGTAATATTACAAATAAGAAATATATTTTTCAACTTAGATATCTTATAATACACTTGATTTAAAACGCCATAGAATTATGTTATATAAAGTAAAATTTATCGAAAACTTTACATGAAAGTTAAATTTTTAGTCCCTGAAAATAAATTGACTAATAGTTGACAGAATACTAAACTTCAATATATCACATGATGGTGAGATTAAAAGTAGGACTTAAAGGAGTTACTTCAAGGATAGCAGGTCCGAATAAGATATTAGAATCAATCAAATTACTGGAATTATCGGAAGTAATAAAAGCATAAGATTGCCCCGAAATTTCCTCGGGAACGTTCACCTTGATCATTCCGCTTTCCATATCTCCTGTTACTGGAAGGACATCTAACCCGCTAACAAACGTAACGTAGAAACTGGATGGAACATCTCCATCGGCCACAAATGTCACAGTAGAATTGGCAGCAAGAGGCATACCCTGTGTTACATTAAGCCCTTTGTATGCGGTTACAGGTAATTTGGCGTTTGATGAAGGACACTCAGCAATAAATTCTGAAGCAATGGAATAAACAGCATTTAATCCCATTGGTGTACCCAAAGGATTGACCATGGGAACTTCTCCTATTGCATTACGAGCAGCTGATTGGTGTAATGCCTCCGTAACCAAAATTGAAGCAGCAGCTGTAAGATATTGTTTCGACATCACCATAGGAGATGCACCCAAATATGCCGACACCCCAACACCTTCAATTGTTGCAGCAAGAGAAACAAAATCCTCAGCAGATTGCATAGGAAATTTATACGTACAAGCTTCTACTGGCGTGGCACCAGCAGCTTTAAGGCCAGCTTCGAGATATTGAACATGTGCTTCTTCATCATGAGCAATATATTTTAATTGTGAATAAAAATCAGAAGAAAAATTGGCATTTGTGAAGTCGTCAACGGACCAAGTTGATAATGCCTTCTTATAGAATGCATTTTCAAGATGTTCAAGGGTGAGCGCATATTGCAAAATATCGGCATCAATATCATCTCTTTTTGCAATGTCAACTGGCGCGGCAATTGTGGAAGCGGCCATTAATCCGCTCATTAAATATGTAAGCTTCATTTTAAATTAGTACTTCTTGATTTATCAAATCCAACTCGGTAAGGTGTAATTATTAAGTCTCTTTTATATTTATCTACATATGGATACATAACTGTATTGAAAACAATATTGCTATCAAATCTTGATTAAATCCTACTATATCCAACTATATCCTGAAATATTGTATTATATCCGATTATATCCGGCTAACACCTGATAAACCCAGACACTTCCCCAGTGAGCAATTGCATAAATAAAAAGTGTAGTAAGTACAAAGATATTAGTGAAAGATACCTTTGATTACCATTGGATGATCATTATAGTCATTAAATTCGAGTGATTATGCGTTTCTAAAGAGTTTGAATTAAATGCGTAATCAGATTTCGAGCTGAGCTATCAAAAATAGGTATTACTTCAATTCGTAGACTAAATTAAGTATAACTGAATATATCCATCAAAAGCTGTTTAATTTAAAGAATACTGAAATGACCCCTTTAAAGAGATTACTTCAAGACGTCATGTATGTACTCTAAAATCTAATAAAAAATCAATTAGTGAACGCGAAGTACTTTCTGATGGTCTTGGAAAAGGGTCTTGCCCATTCTGCTTCAACATCTTCAATAGGCACCGCTTCTACTTTAGAATTAAGAGTTCCTTCTGCTAAAGCGACAACAATTTTTTTAAACACATCAGCCATTTCAGACGCAGTTAGTGGTCCAAGCCCGCTCCCTAAAATTGTAAAATTTGCACTTCTTAAATAGGCTGCAGGTATTGGAACATCAGAACCGGACATTTGGCCAATTTGGATCCACTTTAAGGCTTTAGTTTTATCAGTCCTAGATTTGATGAAATCTCCCATTAATCTTAATGCAGGCTCGCCCCATACATAGTCCAAAACAACGTCAACTCCATCCAACTTACCGCTCTTGATAATATCTTGGTCTTCTTCTTCAAGAGACACAATTTCATCCAATAATGGCTGGCCCTGTTGCAATTCCTTCAAATTTTCAGCCGATCTTGCAATACCTATAACCTTTTGCGCTTGGAATATTTTTTTACTGACTTGAATTGCCAACTGACCCGATGTTCCAGTAACACCCAATATGGCAATAGTTGGATTCGTAGCCAATGTTGGAAGCCTTGGACCAAGAGCAAAGTACGACGACATTACTCCATTAGCTAAAGCCGCAACCCTTGCTATTGCATCCTCAGACTTATAATTACTTGGAAAATGGAATATGTTGCTTTTCTTGACATTAACATATTGAGCATAAGAACCGAGTCCTGGTGCGAAAACAGTAAAGTAGACTAAATCATTTGTTCCTTCAACAAATCCGACTCCATCAACCCCTACAATTTGATCTCCATTGCCATCCAGAGCAGAATAATGACTACCTGATGCTCTTCCCCTGACTAAATGATGATATCCAGTCGCCACGACCTTTACAACAACTTCATCGTCTTTAGTGGCTTGCAATTGTATTTCCTTAATAAAAGGAGTCCCCTTGGATTTTGAGAAAATTGCTGCTTTGATTAGTCTTGACATTTCTCTATATTCTCTTTTTACTGCTAGGCTAATACTACCGTGTTAGTTTTGCTGATAAAATAAGTCCCTAAATAGTTGACAAAAGCTAAATATTATAAATAGTCCATGTTGTCACAAACTCGGCCCGATGTATATAATGAGGTTATCGGCTCCCAATGAAACGGAGTTAAAAATAATCTCCGTTGATCGGCCGATAAATTTGAATATACATTAAAAGAATTATTCTTTGAAAGGTATATTTTAATTTAATCATTATATATATAATAGATTTCTATTACTACTATTTCTATACCTATTGATATATTACTCCTCCGTCAATTATAATAGATTGACCTGTGATAAATTTACTTTTATCACTTGCAAGAAATGAAACTAAGTCGGCTACGTCTTCTGGCATAATTGTTTCTTTAATTGCAGAGGACTCATAGTGAATCTTTCTAGATTCTTCCTTGGTAGCAATACCTAATTCAACCTCCCGCTCTAGTATATCGCGTTGCATTTCAGTCTCAACCGTGCCAGGACAGTAAGAATTGACTGTGATTCCATCTGGGGCAAGCTCCTGCGCAGCAGTTTGAGTAAGTGCCTTGACCGCAAATTTGGTAGAACAATATGCACCCTGATTTGGCATCCCTAATTGACCTGATATCGAAGCTGCATTAATAATTCTTCCTGTTCTATTTTGAATGCCTTTAAATTTACTAGCAGCTGCTTGCATCCCAAAAAGAACACCCTTAACATTTACTGACCATTGCTTCTCCAATTCATCTTCCGTAATACCAGCGAACGAATTAACTATACAAATCCCTGCATTATTCACCATCACGTCAAAAGTTCCGAATTTATTGTACGCCTTATCTATGACATTTTCAATTTGTGATTTTACTTGAATATCTAGTGGATAGAATATAGCATTTCCACCAAATTCATTGATTTCCTGTACTGTATTTAGTGCAACGCTATCTTGATTTTGTAGATCACAGATCACAACATTCAAGCCATCTTTGGCAAGTCTTTTAGAAATAGCTCTACCAATGCCTTTTGCTCCTCCAGTTATAAGTGCAGTTCTTCTCATTTTTCTAATTATTCTATCTATTATCGCAGTATTTTGTTACAATATTTATTTATGTATATATATATTATGGGAAGCGGAGGTACTCCTTCCGTCCCCTCTACGGATTTTCTAATTCTATTCCCGAGAGAGAGATTACACACGAATATTTAAATCCTTCTGTTTATGCTTTCGGAAATAAAATAGTAAACATTTGAAAATAAAATAAACGGTTCAAAGATCAACCGTAATTGGAGATTGCTTATTACATGAATGTGAACTTGAAAATCTAGAATTCAAACTCTTTTAGAAATTCCTCGCAGAAGTTTCTCGGATCACTTTAAAACTTAAATGTGCTCGACTGTATTAGAGATGATCACAATATTAAGATTCCAAACTATTGTAAATAGCCTTTTTTTTAACTTGGACTAGACTAATCGATACTCATCATTCTAAATTACTCATTATTCAAATGGGTATTCCAAGGTCTTATTGATTTTTTCATCTTCTTCTTCATATTATCCAAGCGAAAAAAATTCTAGTGCCCCCAACCTTTTCCATTCCCTTCTTTTTCAACCCAAGTTAGTTTTTCATTTAAATTTATTCCTGAAACTCAAAACTAAAATAGAATTCTACTATTGATTTATTCTCACCCCTTCGAAGTGATTCTAATCTTTATCTACTTCGTATGTGCTTATCGCCTCTTCATTTTTTAATACGCTCAAAGATTTCACAATTGGCCTTGCAAGGTCCTATTGCCAAAGTTCTAAATCTTTAGATTTTTAAATTTTAGTGTGTGCTGCTTTTTTAGTACACATGATTTCAGTCCGAATATTCCACATTTTCTCGCGTAAATCTGATTAAGCGTCTGACTGCCAGGTAATAAATTATTTGCTACATTTCTCGCGAGTTAAAAAAAATTTCAGGAAGAATGTTGACAAATCAAATTATTTAAACAGCTAAATTTTAGTAACAACTACGGGTACAAAAACATTTGCGTATCTATAATGTGCTATTAGAGATTGTGATAATATTTTCATGTAAGATTTGACTTTTCTTCCAATCGTTTGTCTAAACGAACTCAGAAATGAAAGACTTCCAAGAAAAATGCAAGCTTTCTTAGGTTCTTCGCGGTTTCCATTTCAGAGCGATATCTCCGATTGGGCTATTATCAATATTCTTAAAGGAGGGCCCGCAAAGGAGTACGATTTGACGCATTATGTAAAGATTGTATAATATTTTGTAATGTACATTATCGGCTCGTTTCGGTTTACGGCAATTCCTTTGTTAAATAGTATGCATTAATCTGTAGACATCTCTTAAATACAGCTCATTTTTAATTGTTCCAATTATCTGATTCATCAGTAAACCCGCAGCCGGTGATTTACGAACTTGATGCGTCCATGAAAAACTCGTTTTCATTGCAAAAGTTTTTGTTGTTGTTCGTTCAACCATATATAAATAGCTCTTCTTTTTCCTTTAACCGCATATATATCGATACATCAACCCAACCTGAAGTCAAAAGAAAAGTCACCTTTGCTTATATAAAATGCTTTCCGTCAATTTGTTGGCTACTGCAGTCGTTGGCTTTTATGCTTCTTCTATCAATGCTGCTGATTACGAAACGTATCCAACTGTTGCTCACACAGCTTCCATCAATGGTTTTGCCGATAAAATCTACGACAGGCTTCCAGACTGTGCAAAGTCGTGTGTTCAAGAAGACACTGGTAACACACCATGTCCATATTGGGATCCAGGTTGTCTCTGTGTTATGTCTAACTGGGGTGGTCCAGTTGCTGAATGTATTGCTGACAACTGTCAAGGTGACAATGTCGTTACAGCTACTAGTTTAGCTACCTCTATATGTTCCAGTGCTGGTGTTCCAAGTCCATTTTGGTTCATTCCAGCCTCGGCCTCAGCAGATTTACTGGCAGCTGCAGAAGCTACTGTCACCGATGACGCCACTTCGTCAACTACTATTGAAACCAGCGATTCAGTTACTTCAGCTTCAGCCACTAGTGAACCAGCATCTAATGAGCCAGTTTCTTCTGCGCCAGCTACCAGTGAACCAGCATCTAATGAGCTAGTTTCTTCTGCACCAGCTACCACTGACCCAACCTCTTCAGTACCAGCCACCACTGACCCGGCCACTTCTGATACAGCTGAAAATCCATACGCAACTTATCCAACTGTTGTTCGTACTGCTTCTATTAATGGCTTTGCTGATAAACTTTATGATCAACTTCCTGAATGCGCTAAGCCTTGTGTTGAAGAAGACACTGGCATAACTCCATGTCCATACTGGGATCCAGGCTGTCTTTGTGTTATGTCTAACTGGGGTGGTGAAGTTGCTGAATGTATTGCTGAAAACTGTCAGGGTAGCGAAGTTTCCACGGCCACTAGTTTGGCTAATTCTGTCTGCTCCAGTGCAGGCGTCCCAAGTCCATATTGGTATCTCCCAGCATCTGCGTCTGCTGATTTACTGAGTGCAGCAGCAGCAGCTACTGTGACAACAACAGAAGCTTCTTCTATATCAGCTTCCACTTATTCAACCTCTTCAGTACCAGCCACCACTGACCACGTTTCTTCTATACTAACCAATAATGATCCGGTTTCTTCTGCACAAGTTGAAAAATCTGGTTCGGATGAAGGAGCTTTCTCTTCAAAGTCTTCTGTGGTAGCCATTACTTCCGATGCAAAACACACTAATGATACTTCCACAATTACAAGCACATCAAAAGCAACTGTAACGGATTGTCCTTCCTGTACAAAACAAATGACGACATTCAATTCCACTCAATCTAACGGTTCAATTATTACTAAAGCAAGTGGAATTGTAACATCCTCGGACTCCAATGGGGATTACACTTCCACCTCAGTAACTAGTAACGATTCAACTCAAGTTGAATTTTCTACTACTGTCATTACTGTAACATCATGTCAATCAAACAAATGTTCAGATATCTTAAAAACAACTGGTGTTACTTTTATTACCGAAGAGCACACATCGTATACTACCTATTGTCCCCTCCCAACAGAGTCAGAAAGTACCGTTACCACTATCGTTACAAGCATCCTTTCTTGTGACAAGAGTACATGTAAATCTATTCCAACAACAATCGCCAGTGCTATCGCAAGTGAATCAAAGACCCATTCTAAGAGTTCAAACCATGAAAGCAGCCATATAACAACAGCTGAAATCAACTCAGTACCAACTTCACATGCTAATGAATTTCCATCACCTTCTAGCGTTACGTTAATTGCAGAAAACCCATCGAATTCTAATTCAAGTAGTAATAACGCCTACCCTGATACTGAATCTTCTGGCTCTGGTCATTCCGGTTCACAAACAATCTCGCCTGTTTCCGTTTCCAATGAAAACAGTTTCTCTTCAATATCTAACGCGGTTGAAACCACTTCATTCACTCCAAGTGTGTTCGAAGGAATTGCACCTGTCAACAAACAATGGGGTTTGCCTTCTTTCGTAGCTTTATTCGCTATTGCTTTATTCTAATTTCTTTAAACTTTCACACAATATATTTTGATATATGTTTTCATGCTGACCATTTTGAAAAGGTACTTTGCAGTTAAATAAACTTGAAAAGATGCGTGTATATATGAGCTCTATAGATTGATATTTAATTAATGCTACAATATTTTACAATCTTAAAAGTTGTTTAAATTTTCGGTGATGATTTTGATTATGGGATTCGAACGCGCTTTGACTAGAAGAATCTCAGATAAATTCTGTACTATATTAAAACATAATTCTATAATTT